GCATCTGGTTTTGGATCAAATCGGAATTCTGACCTTTGAGATGGAGCTTGCTGTGTGATGAGAAGAAATATTGATGAACTGAACTCTCTCATCTTGATGTGCAAGTCTTGGCAATAATCAGGTTGTGTTGTCTGTAACTGTGACTAAGATGAAGTTTAAGCGTCTGACTTCAAAACTCACATGTTATTGGTTTACTGTCTTATTCTTGCAACTGTGTATATGTTTCATCTGGTATCACAGTCTGTAGGGGCCGTGTATGCAGGTCTTTCATTGATAACACTCATCCTCGCCCCTCCTTTCCTTCTCCACTCCTCCTCATCACTACTCCTCCTCTTCTTCTCTTCCTCCCTCTCTGGCCCCATTCATCCTGATCCTCCTTTATCACTCTTGCCCTCATCACGCCTCACCATCCATCTTGCTTGTACTCCCTTGTTCGCACTCCTTCACCCATCTCTCATTCCACCCTATCTTCCTTTTCGACCTCCTCTTCCTCTCCTATAGCTCTTAGCGTCTCTGTTCCAGGGTACATCCCCAGCTACCTGGAGAAGGACGAGCCATGTGTAGTGTGTGGGGACAAGGCGACTGGGTACCACTACCGCTGCATCACCTGTGAGGGCTGCAAGGTACATAACACCTCTGCTGTGTCACCATGGTGCAGATATTAGTTTGTCATGTATTATACACTCTGACAGCTCTGGCAGGAGGTAGAGGTGGCTGATCCAGCTCTAAAATAACAGTTAACATCACCACAAAGGAACTTATAAATCTGAAAGCAGTTACTTCAATTCTATGTTATCTATATAGCACCAAGTCAGAACAACAGTCATCTCAAGGCAGTTTATATTGTAAGGTAAAGACTTAATATAATCGAAAGAAAACCTCAATAATCAGACAACCCCCTATGAGCAAGCACCTGGCAAGAGTGGGAAGGAAAAACTCTGTTTTAACAGGAAGAAGGAATGGGTTCAGGACAAAAGACACACTGAGGAAGAAAGCCAGAGATTAAGAAGATCTAATGATTAAACACAGAGTGCAAACTGTATAAACATGTGGAGACTGAAAAGAGTGAATGAAAAAAGTGCTTCGTGGAAAGCCCACAGCGGCCTGGCCTGTTGGAGCATAAGTAAGCTAGGATTCAGGCCATAGAGATAAGTTTTATCAAAAATTAAAGGTTTAAGCCTAATCTTAAAACTAGCAAACTGTCTTGTAAACTGATTTCAAAGAGCTACATGTAGCTGAATAGTTAAATGTGAAAAAGCTCAGTGTTCGAAACACATAATCGTGAAGTTGGGTTGGCCAGGTATCATTTGTGCTGTATTTTAGTACTTGTGCAGAGAGCGAACAGTGTGATTTGTAAGTTCTTTCACTGCTAACGAGCTAGCCCCAGCCCGCCATGTCTTCTGTTGCCCTACCAGCAACTGACTTGTTCACTGTTGTGATGACATTCAGCTGT